GAAGCACTTCATCTCCAGGACGTCTTTGAATTTTAATCAGATCGAATTACTTGATAAAAAAAATAGCAAAATAATAAATTATTTTAACATGCAAATTATTTTGCTATTTCTCTGAAAGTAATTCGAAGATGAACCCACCAAACTGCATGCCCATCTCACTCTGCGTCTGCTTCCCATTGAGGCCCCTATTTAAAGGACAGGGAACGAACAATCTTGGTCGTTGATTTAAAAAAAAAAAAAAAAGATTCAACGGTCACAATCAAAATACCTTAAGCGACAGACGGATTAAAGGCCCCACTTGTGACTTCATCCGCCATGTGTCCACCTCGGAGGGATGAGTTCAGCCACCATAATCTAGACAACCTCAATAAATGAGTTTGACTAATTGAATGCTTCAGAAGTGTACTTACCTCTAATTGAGCACCATTCAAGGGCACAAATTTGTCGAGTTTTACTTAGGGTTGGCAACGATTCGATTATGGATCGATTCGGTCAAAATCATAATCGCACCATCAAATTTTTTATCATACCATAACCGCACCATAACCTCGTAAATCGGTTCGATTCGGTTCAATTTTTATCTCGGTTCGGCACGGTTCGGTTCGGTTCGGTTAATAACCACGAAAATAAATTATTTTTTATAGGTTCATCCGTCAAATTGATATAAAACAATTTATGAAAAAAGTCAATGAAAACAAAAACACAATATTCCAAACGAAAATACAAACATTATCAAACAATATTCTAAACGTAAATGCAAACATTATCCTAATTTTCAATTGTAAAATACAAATTTAACAAATAATATTATAAATATAATAATACTAAACTTTTCCTTCATTCTTAATTATTGTGCATCGAAGTTACTTGATGCATTCTTCCCTACAAGTCTTACTAGCATAGATCAGCATTCAAAGCTGATTCCTATTCATCCTTGGCAATATTGACACGTCTAGAAAAATATCGAACTCTGTTTTTACATGATCAGTAATAATAGAATGACTAACAAATGTAACAAATTTTCGGAAGCGACGACGATTTGGACCGTAAAGGCAGTGGAGCCGTGCGTGAGTTTGTGGTTGTGGAGAGTAGGGTTTGCATTTATATACCGTCATACTAATGCTATTATGGGCTAATGGTAAGTAGACTGGCCAAATGAGTCAGGTAGATGTAATGAGAAGGGGAGGAATTTTGTTTTGATTTGGATAGAAAAGTAGTGTAAAGCCCATTATCAATTCAATTTTTTTTTTTTTAGAGGGCAATCGGTTCGGTTTCGGTTCGACGACGTAAATACCATACCCGCACCATTACGAACCGGTCATTAAAATCAAAACCATATCCGCCCCATTGCACCATCGATTCGATTTTTTTCGCCCCATTCGGTTTGGTTAACGGTTTTGACGGTTCAAATTGTCATCTCTAGTTTTACTAGAGTGACGGGCCGTAGGGGTGCTCGTCCAAGGCCCAAGTGGCCCTAGACGAATAACAAAACTCAAATTTGCCTTCCAACTAACCTAGGTAATCATTATGCCGTTGTGACCGCCCTTATCCACCAATCAAATATCATTGATGTGATAAGGTGCATGTAGATTGAGGTCGACTACTATAGCTATGAATGATTAAGGCGGCTAGTAATTGTAGTTTCTCGAGGACCATTTCTCATGGGAATTCAAGATCAAGTTCTCTTATTAATACTCTTTATGCTAACATACCTCCCTTGTCAACTTTTTATAATTTCCTTTTGAGTCAAGAGGTGCCACGTTGCTTTCTAATCCCAACAAAATAATATAATTAATCATTCAATTTTACTAATCTAACAATTCAATTATTTAATTCTCAAAAACCCAAATTTTCAGTGTCCAAATTTCCCACTCCTATATATGGTACAACATTCATAAGAAACACCATGGACCTGTATGATGAATGGGACCTCCGTGTTTAATGCAAGAACAGAGGATATCTTATGCTGGTTAATCAACGCCAGCCAAAAACAACGAAAACAAGAGGAGATTCACAGAGAGAGAGAGAGAGAGAGAGAGAGAGAGAGAAGGAAAAGCAAAAGCAAAAGCAAAAAGAAGAGGAAGAGAAAGAGGAGCTAGAGATTTCCTTTTCTTCTTTTTCCGTCTTTCTTCTCTGTGCTAATCATATACCATTGAAATTTTCCTGTCTCCAAAAGTTTCTTTTCCTTCCCATAAAATCCCATAAATTCATCTGAACCACCCTTTTGATCTAAATCCCAGATCCTCAGATTTTACATTTTCATATGCCACATAAAATGTACATGGAGAAGTTTGTAAGTGTAGATCATTGTACATGTATACACGGTGTTACTTCTGAATCTACTGCAATGAGCCTGTACACCCAGAAAACGACATCCTACTCGGGCTAAAGACTTACAATTCATGGCTCCAAGTACGTTTAGAAATGTCATTGGAGCAGTCAAGGATCAAACTAGCATCAGCTTGGCCAAAGTTGGTAGCAGCTCTTCGTTTTCAGACCTCGAGGTGGCCATTGTCAAGGCGACCAGGCACAAAGAATATCCTCCGGACAAGAAGCATATTAGAGAAATCTTGAGCATAACGTGTTACTCGCCTCAATATGTAGGCGCATGCATTAGCACCATTTCTAGGCGCATAAGCAAAACAAGGAACTGGGTTGTGGCATTGAAGACATTGATGTTGATCCAGGGGCTACTTGTAGAAGGAGATCCAGCCTTTGCACAGGAGATTTTCTTTGCTACAAGGCGTGGGACTCGTCTTCTTAACATGTCTGATTTTCAAGACAGATCTAGTTCGAACACATGGGATTATTCTGCATTTATCCGAACATATGCGTTGTACCTGGATGAACAGCTTGAATTCAAGATGCAAGGCAGGAGGGGAAAGTGCAGCACATTTGCCTACGACGAGGAAAAAGAGGTTGGCCGGATGGACAAGGGTGTTGGGGCAACACCTGTGCACGAAATGAAAAAAGAAAGCATATTCTCGAGGATTCATCATCTGATGCAATTTCTTGAGAGATTTTTAGCATGCAGACCAGCAGGTTTGTTTTTCTATGGCTTTTACCATTATATTTTACCAAAATAATATTTCCTGTATATAATTCATCCAACTTTCTCAACTTAAAACAGGGGTTGCAATATATAACAAGGTTGTAACTGTTGCTCTGTACCCTATAGTGAAAGAGAGCTTTCAGCTGTATTATGACATATCAGAAATCATTGGTATCTTGATTGATCGATTCATGGAGCTTGATATCCCTGACTCAGTAAAAGTTTACGAGATCTTCTGTCGAATTTCGAAGAAGTATGATGATCTTGACGTTTTTTATGACTTCTGCAAGAGTGTCGGAGTAGCACGTTCTTCAGAATATCCAGATGTTGAGAAAATACCACAGAAGAAACTAGAAGTCATGGATGAATTCATCAAAGAGAAGTCAATAATGGCACAAAAGAGGAGGGCTCAGACCACGGCACCAAAACCTGAACCGACTGAAGAAACCAAGGAGTCGAAACCCAAAGAGGACAATAATGGAATTAAAACCTTACCACCGCCAGAAGAATACCATGATACATATAGAGAAGAAAAGAAAGAGGAAGAGGAGACCTCGAAGGAGAAAGATAACAAAACCCAAGAAGTAAGAGATTTGTTGAACTTAAGTGAAGATGCAACAAATACAGAAAATCATGGAGACAAACTGGCTTTAGCCCTATTTGATGGCTATCCAGCGCCAACCATGACGAGTACTGTAACTCCATGGGAAGCCTTCAAAGAATCAGATGATTGGGAAGCAGCACTGGTTCAGTCAGCCAGCTATTTGTCGAACCAAAAGGCATCACTTCCCGGAGGATTTGACTCATTGATGCTTGATGGAATGTATCAACAAGGGGTCATAGCTCAGGCAGCATCTTCTTCAGGTCTTATAGCCACTGGAAGTACAAGTAGTTTTGCACTAGGTTCAACTGGAAGGCCAGCCACGTTAGCATTGCCAGCACCAACTGGTGGAGCAGCCAACATGTCTACAGATTCCGACCCTTTTGCAGCCTCACTCGCAATAGCACCACCACCTTACGTTCAGATGTTTGAGATGGAAAAGAAACAGAGACAGTTGGTAGAAGAGCAGTTAATGTGGCAACAGTATGCAAGAGATGGACTGCAAGGACAAGTAGGACTAGCTAACCTACGTCAAAATCCATATCCAAACAATACAGGAGGTTACATGAGATCCTACTGAAGAGGTACAGAGAATTATAAAGCGCTAAGGAAAACGAGTCTTTCTTGTACCAACTGGAAATATTGTCAGGAACCTTGAAACAGATCTGTTGATGCCATGGGAAATCAAGTGCTCTAAAAGATACTGAGTATAATATAATCTATAAGGTACTCGTACTAACAGATTACGGTAGTAGAGTGACAATAGTACATTTTTATCCTGGAGGTGGAGAAGAAAAAATCACATTGCAAATACTAAATGCTTAATATATTATAAAAAATAAAATGGAAAATAAATTGACTGAAATGGATTTTCACTCAGCAATAACTCTTTTTGCATAGTATTTATTATGATAGGGCTACTGTTAAATTGAGAAATGTAGAGAGATCAGTTAGCCAGAAAATAACTATTATGACATGAAAACTTGACGTACTCCGGAAAGTTGTCAGAACTATAGTAACAAATTACTCCATGCTTTTGAAAATACAGCTATTCTAAGAATGCTTTCATTGATACTGAGGCACAAAACAAGAACAGTGACAGACAACACTAGCATTTTTATGATTCACATCCCAATGTATGTATACCTCATGTCTATCTCACTTGCATTGACTGTGAAACTGCTAAGAGAAATGAATACCAGGTATACTTTCACTGGATAATGGCGACAATTGGCATGGCCTCTACCATTATCGTTAAAGCAATAACATGCAAAACAAGCAGTATCCATTTGTACAGGTACATATATTCACATCAGTCATATCCACGATTTTTGGCTGTAGAATTTGCTGCACATACCAATCCCCTGTTGCACTTTTTATTGGGTGTCAGGCAACTCGCTATCGGCTGGTATCTTAGTGGAGATGCCAAGGCTCATACCAACAGAAACTAAGGTCTCTAGTGATCTTGCACTGTTTTCCAAGAGATCGTTATCTATCTTGATTGTATCCTGCAGAGTAATTTTTCAACAAATTTGGACATAGCTTCAACAGTCACTTGAGCAATTTATCATGATTTTGACTCAAACTTGCTGGCAATTCATTTAAACGAGAATTTTACTCAATGAACTGACAACGTGCAAGGCTTGTCAATGTCACATTCGACCAATTTTAGAAGAAAATATAATCAACTAGCATGTGAATGGGCAAAGTGGGGTTTTGAAGAAAGTAAGACTTCTTCATTTCTGCAAAACAGTCTTCCTAAAATCTAAGGGACGGTAGCTATTTAGGTAGGGTAAGCCCCATCACCCTCCAAGCCACTAAACTTTAGGTGATTGTATCTTCAAGAAATAGTCTGGCAAATAAAATAAATAATCAATTTTTTGGATTGACGAAGTATGGGTACTAACCTTTTCAAAAACACAAATCACCGTACTTCCACCGAATGAGAAATATCCAAACTGCGAATTGAATTGGTGAAAGTGCAATAAACTTAGAGATCAAAAAATTATATTGTGAATTAGTTAATCGAAACAGTTTAATATTAATTATTGTGAACCTCGTCTCCTTTCTTCACATGATCACCCTCCTTTTTAGAGAAAGTAATGCTACCAACCATAGTTGCTCCGATAGCAACAAATGCCACCTGCACTCATTTAAAAACATTTAGTGACTATAAGTAGTAAATATTTAATTTCTGCTCAGACATGTAACATCTGAAATGGTTAATAGATTTCGATATTAGAACTTAGAAGCATGAAACGCAGGTGAAAACCAATTTATTTATTTTACTGTGAAGCATAGCTTATGTTTGTTTAAATATGCAAATCAACTGCAGAAGTTCAGCCCATCAAGTGTGAGAGTGATGAGAAACTCAAACATTTAATCAAAGTGTGTAAGTTCAGAAATGATAACAGATAAGGGGACCATATACGATTATCCTATAAATATGAGGTTTACTGAACTCAAAACCGTGTAAAAAATCAATATCTGAATTTCATGTGTAACAATTCAAAATCTTCCCACAGTGAAATTCAAAAGAAAAACTTGATGAATCATTCTGAAGACAGACTTGCTGAATCATTTGAACTGATCATTTTGCCACACTAAAAAGAATAGGCAAATCATTTAAGTATTCATACTCATAGTGCCATGATTAAAAGAATGCCCAGAGTACATTCCAATTAAAAGGGGGAAGGTATGATAGAAAATTAAAACTTGTGACAGAAATTTCAGATAATGGTACTATTGACACATCATGCTTAACATCATAAACAATCTGACTTGACACCTCAATTTGGGTCATATATCAGATTTATCGGGATGACTGGACAAGTGAAGGAATCAGCCTTCACTGTGAGACTCACAAGAAATCATTAATTCCAAAGGATACTGCGGACAAATTATGATGATTACTCTGGAGCTGGTGGCATAATAATCATCTAAAGCATAGATGGACAGGAAACATAATTAATATAATACACAAATGATTATTGCGGGACAAAGAAATTTTAATGTTGGGAATCACTTTTTAGTTACAAATTAATTTCTACCACAACTCAGAAAATCTTGGGGCAAGTGTCTGAAATAACAAACCTTTCCAAAATCTGCAGTTGAAATGAGAGCGATAACACGTTTATTCTCAGTGAACACATTACAATACTTGCTATTCACTGCAATAGGGTTAACCTTAAAGGCAAAAAGACAACTGAAATGAGTATGATTCAAAGATAAAACAGAGATGGTAAGAAGACATACATCTGAACATACCGTGTATAAGCATCCCGGAATTTCAACAAATTTCTCAATAGTTCCAGAAACAGGAAAATGAAAACGATGGTAATCCTGCCAATATTTGCATATATATTCACTTTGACAAAATTATGAACCTAACATATATTCATGAACAACGAGAAATTGACAAGAACCTGTGGTGCCAACCGAAATATCACCAAAGTTCCATCAACAAACGAGCTGGAGCACACTTCTGCACCTAAAAGACCTTGGACCGAAAATTTTCTCCCCTAATGTGACAAAGGAGAAGCTAAGGATACTATCTATATGCAGCATGAAAACATATATAGAAAATAAAGAAGACAAGCTTTCCAAATAACAGTTAATGCATTCTTCTTTTGGCTAAATTTCTCCAACAATGGATAAGCATTAAGGGGTATACTACAACTTATCTTTTTGTGGAAGTAAAACATCACATAAAGGACAAAGCATGGGAGTATATAATTACAAGGGCACATGTTTATATCCTGTCTAGAAATATATAGTGCATCATCTTTCATCACTTAAGTTCTTGCATGACCTCTCTGATAGAGTACATCACTAGACCACCACTGCTGCTCAATATTTGTTCAAGAAATTGAGCACACGCAGAAACACACACAAAGAGAGAGTTCTGAGCAATTGCCTGGTGCCATATCCATGGGGCAGTTATCACTTGAATTGCTAGATGATGAAACTAATAGATGGCAAGGATAAAGGTATGCCAATTACAAGTCAAAAGAAAAGCAGCCGGGGGAGGACAAGGAGCACATGCAAGAAAAAGCTCGTGACCAAGTTGTTTCCGGTCAACGCTTTCAGATGTTGATGCTAACAACGCTTGAAAACTAGAAGAAGACCATGAATGCATGTAACAACACTTCCCTAACCTTAGAAATGGCAATTAAATTTACAAAGAGAAGTGATGTGGGAGCAGAATTGGAACCATTGAAATAAGAATGACGTTTGAAAACTAAAAAATACAAAGAAAATAATTTGATCATAAGGAATATGTTAATTGAAAGTGTACAAAGCCTTTGTTTACATAGGTAGGTACGTCTGAAGGAAAAGGAGAGAGAACAAAGAAGACACTCAAAGAAAATGAAAAAATAAATAAATTAATGAAATAATCTAATTGGAATGGTTTAGTTTACATAGCACTTAGAATAATCTATAAATATCTTCAGCGACTCCTCTTGAAAGAGAGGGGTGTCTTCCGAAGTGTGGACACGGTGTTGCATGGTTGTCATCAGTTCGTGCCACAAGGTATTAGGTTAAGTCTAGCAATGAGGGCAACCCACATATTTAGTTGCCATCATTGAGTTAATAATTCCCTAATTTTACCAATCCAAGAAAATGAAACTGAAATCATAAACCAACCTATTATAATCAAGAAAAAGAAAAAGAAAAAGAAAATAGTTCTCCCAAATCTTATTGCTTCCACTTTGGTAGTAATCCTTTTCAAGAAAAGCTATTGCAAGCAATCTATTTGCTATGTATACTAAACTATTCCAATTAGATTATAGCAGGAAAGAAGTATACAATGACATAAAGGCAAAAGCTATTGCAAGCAATCTAAATTTTCACATATTCATTAAAAATAACTAAGTTACACAGAAGTGGAAAGTTGTGCATCTCTTTGAACAGAGAAGTAGCTTTTACCTTAATCCAAAATCTTAGACAATCAGTAGTCGTTTTAAAGGCCATCAGCCGGCTATCAGCAGCACATATAGCAACATCATCACGTTCCATGCAGGCAATTGGCCTTGCACCAGGTTTTAACTCTCTTATGAAAAATTCATTAAATGTCTGCATACGGGAAATGTACGAGTTAAGAAACTACAGAATAAAGTTAAAATCTAAATATTTATGCAGATGAAACTGATATGAACCTCCTCTATGAGTAAATTTTGTAATCATAACAAGCATCAAAGTGAAGGGAATGCAATCCACGTAGACAGAAGGTATACAAATGGTGTTAGGAGTATTGAGTCTGAAACTCAATCGTGATGAAGGAAAAGAGGCTTCTCCCTCCAACAACTTGAATTTCTTTCACCAGTATATACTGAAGTAACCAGAGGTAGTTGTCCCACAACTTATGCTCCCTCTTCCCCTCCCATAAAGAGATTGATTCAACAGGGGGCCGTTAACCAACATCACTAATTATTACTGGGGCATTTCGCTTATGGTAAAAGATAAATAACTAAACTTTGTTACTCGGGAAAGGTTGGGTATTATCCTGTCTGAAGCTCCAAACGAAAAAAAAGGGAGCTTATTTCAAGAGGAACGTTGACAATGGTGGAGAACTTTTGTCCTCTGGGGTATACAAGGGAATCATGAACACCTATTACATTTGTTTGCTTTCATTTTCTTTCTTTTCATAGCTTCCAATTTGGTATCTGAGCTGTATATCAGAACTGCATAACTTAGGAACACAGTCATAATCACCCCGAAGAAATCAAATATCCATAGTTTCCATAAAGTCTCCAGCAAGGCAAAGAGCAAAACGTGCAAATAGAAACACTAGATACACCTGCCTACTACTGAAATTCAGTCCTGTTATATTAATTTATTTATTTTTTGATAGATAACCAGATAATTTTATTAATCAAAAAAGAAAATACAGGAAGTGTATTATCAATTTAAACAAGAAAAAAACATCAAATTAGACAACCCTTCTATAGAATTAGTAATGTTAGCATTAAACCTAGTATACAAAGTCATATAAAACAATTCTCTAATCTGCTTGTCGTCCGTGTTTAGTCTTTCAAAATAGCAGCTGCTGCTTTCTCTCTACATACACTATACGATGTATTATGGGATAAGATCCCATACATGCTTGCTATCCTTATCACAAATTTTTCTCCTTCATTCCTGCAATACGTCCTCTATAAACCTAGGCAACATCCAATCCATATGTTGAGAAGCCAGAATACCGTTCCACAGCCAATGAACACTATCACAATGAATGAACAAGTGGTCAATCGTCCTCTATCCCTCTTACACACATAACACCACTTGGTAAAATAAAAACCTTTTCTTCAAATAACTATCCATAGTAAAAATGCCACCCGTGGAGGCAATTTATATTGCCACCCCATCTTCTAAGGGAATGAACTCACCACAAGTCCCAAAGGAGATCTAAATAAGTGCGAACTGAAAAAATACTATCCC